GAGATTCAACATTCTGGACAGCTCTTGTTTTAGCTCGTTTATCTGCAGGGCACTCACTATGTCGCGGCACTGATGGACCGCGTTCGCGATGCGGGGTGAGTCGTCGACCTCTTGAGTGACCGAAATGCCGACCTCCGGAAGCAGGTGGAGGAGGTCCGAGCCGGGGCGGCTCCTGAGGTGGTCGTGGCAGCCGAGCAGCGTGCCTCGGACTTGGACGCAGAGGCGACGCGCCTACGTTCCGAGCTCAAGACGTCCGAGGAGAAAAATAAGGAGCTTCAGATGCATCTGAAGGCGTCGATGGCCGAGGCTCATTCGGCAAGGGGGGAGTCGATCGAGCTGGTCTGTCGGTTGGAGGAGTCGCATGCTGAAGCGCGGGGGGCCGCCGAGGCCCTAACCGTCGAGATTCGCCAGAGGCCGAAGAAGGACAAGAAATTAATCGAGGACTACAAGGCATCCTCGGGCTTTTAGCTTGGCCTTGTTCGGACCGGGCGGGTTTCATACGAGTATGGGTACCGGATTGCCCTTGCCCGCTTTAAGGCGCGCCACCTCGACCTGGAGGTCGCGGAGGATCCTTTCGACTCCTTCCCTGAGGACATGGGCGTCGACATGCCGAATGAAGTCCCTTTTGATGACAGCCCTTTTTGTAGACTCGTCGGTACATATTTTTCCTTTCCCCCCTTTTTGTTGTTCGGGGGTGAAGTGTAATGTACTCCTTGAAAATGATACGACTGTTTTTCCTTTCCCCCTTTTGCCTAACACATTGTGTTTGTACTTGCTTTTGTTAATGTAACTCCCGCTTCTGTTACGTCCCGACTCATCATATTACGGAAAAAACCTTTTGAGGTTTTGCGAGTTCCAAGTCCTTAGCAAAGCGTGGCCTTGCATCGTCGCGAGTCGGTAGGCACCGACCCTAACAACTTCGATCACCCGATAAGGGCCTTCCCAATTAGGAGCTAACTTCCCACGTGCTCGGGTCGGGTCGCTAACCTCGGCCCTGCGTAAGACCAAGTCGTCCAACTTGATTGGCCGAGGCCGCACCTTGCGGTTATAAATTCTAACGACGACCCTTTTATAGGAGAGATCTTTCAGGTGCGCATTAGCACGCCGCTCCTCGAGTAGATCGAGATCGGCTCGCAGTCCTTGGGTTGAAGCTCGTTCGTCATAGCTTGCCGTCCTGAGGGTGGGGAAAACTATCTCGGGAGGCAAGACAGCCTCGGTCCCATATGAGAGGTTGTAGGGGGATTCTCTGGTCTAGACCTTGAGGGTGGGCCACAGAGCTGAACCTCAGTTGAATCCCGTAATTCGCGAAGAACTCCTGGAACCAAGACTGGTGAACTAGGATCCGTTGTCCGTGATGATGGCTTCTGGCAAGCCAAATCGCGTCACGATGTTTTTCCATACGAATTTCTCCACTTGCCGCTCCGTGATCGTCGCTAGTGGCTCGGCTTCGGTCCATTTGGTGAATCCACGCCCACAACGATATATCGTCGTTGCCCTGACGCCGGTGGAAAAGGGCCAAGGAGGTCCAATCCCCATTGCGAGAACGACCACGCACAGTCGATGGGGGATGGGGGACCGTCGGCTGCCTGAGCGTTCGGGCGTGCCTCTGGCAGGGCCCGCATCGCTGCACGTAGGTTGTAGCGTCTCGGGACATGGTGGGCCAATAGTATCCTTGACAAAGGATTTTGTAGGCCAAGGTCCGAGCAGCAATATGCTCCCCGTAGATCCCCTCATGGACCTCAGCGAGGACTGCCTTCGCTTCGTCAGGCTCGGGGCTGTGAGAAGGATCGCTTGTAGAGCCGTTCGTTCACCTCGGAATACCATGCTTGCGTTCGACGAATGCGGCACGCCGCGACTTCGTCGTCGGGAAGAATCCCGTTGCGTTTGAAGAGCAACATCTCCCGTACCCACGTGGCGCGCGCTTCGGCCGAAGCTACAACCGAAACTGTGATGGCGCGGGATGTGAGATCTTTAACCTCGGAGCGGTTTCCGTGGTCTGGCCCTGAAGCCATCTTCGCCAACTCGTCGGCTCGTTCATTTTGGCTCCTTAGCACCCTGGATAACGCGAAGCGGGAGAAGTTGGAGGCTAGGCTTTTCACCTCTGCCAGGTACTTTGCCATGGCGGGTTCCCTGGCTTCGTACCCACCGTTAAGTTGCTCGGCGACGAGCTACGAGTCAGTGAAGACGTGGATGGCATCCACCTGCATTTCAAGGGTCAGCTTGAGTCCTGCCAGGAACGCCTCGTATTCGGCTTCATTGTTGGTTGCCCGGAACCCAAAGCAGAAGGAGCGTTCGAACGAGCATCCGTCGGGGGCTGAGAGTACCAACCCCGCGCCGGCGTTGCTGGAGGTAGCCGAGCCGTCCACGTGCAGGTCCCACGCCTCCTCTAACTACTTGGGGCTTCCATTCCCGTCTTCAGCCAGTTCCACGATGAAGTCGGCCACGGACTGGGCTTTGATAGCAGTCCTTGGAACGTAACGTATGTCGAACTCTCCGAGTTCTACCGACCACTTGAGGAGTCGTCCTGCGACATCAAACTTAGACAAAACATGCCGGAGCGGCTGGTCAGTGATTACCTTAATCGGGTGAGCTTGGAAGTAAGGGCGTAGTTTTCTAGATGCTAGCACGAGTGCCAGAGCGAGCTTTTCGAGTGGTGGATACGGCTCCTCGGGTCCGTTCAGGACGTGGCTGACGTAGTAGACCGGTAGTTGTTCCCCGGAAACCTCTTTGGTTAGGACGGAGCTGACCGCGTGCTGGGAGGCGGCCATGTAAACGCTGAGCTTTTCCCCGAGAGTGATCAAAGCAAGGCGGGGAAGGTTGGCCAGGTGCCGCTTAACTTGTCCAAAAGCCGTTTCACACTGCACCGTCCACCGGAAGTCCTTGGGGTTTTTTAACGCCCGGAAGAAGGGGAGGCAACGATCACCAGACCGAGATAGAAACCGGGATAAAGCAGCAAGCCGTCCGTTTAGTCGCTGCAAGTCCTTGACTGTTCGAGGGGCCTGCATGTTGATGACTGTCTGAACCTTTTCCGGATTCACGTCGATTCCTCTTTCATGCACGATGAACCCGAGGAACCTTCCCGAACTGACGCCAAAAGCACACTTTGCCGGGTTTAACCGCAGGCCATACTTCCGAAGTGTGGAGAATGTTTCGGCCAAGTCGGCCAGGTGGTATGCCGCCATGCGACTTTTGACGATCATGTCGTCGACATAGACTTCGACGTTCTGTCCGATTTGAGCGGCGAACATTTTGTTCGCGGCCCTCTAGTAGGTGGCGCCTGCGTTCTTGAGTCCAAACGGCATGATTTTGTAGAAATACACCCCCAGATCGGTGATGAAAGTCGTGTGTTCTTGTTCTTCAGGCGCCATTCTGATCTGGTTGTAGCCGGAGAAGGCATCCATGAACGATAGGCAGGCGTGCCCGGCTGTCACGTCGACCAGCTGATCGATTCTCGGGAGGGGATAGTAGTCTTTCGGGCATGCCCGATTGAGACTCGTATAGTCAACGCACATCCTCCATTTCCCATTAGATTTTTTCACCAGCACTACATTAGATAGCCATCGCGGGTACTTGATTTCCTCGATGAAGCCGGCCGCTAACAAACGCTCCACCTCTTCACGGACGGCGAGCTACCTATTGGGGGCTTGTCATCGTGGTTTCTGTTTTACCGGCCGGGCGTCAGGTGATATATTCAGGTGATGCTGGGCGATCTCAAGGTCGACGCCGGTCATTTCGGATGGCGCCCAGGCGAAGACATCGGCGTTCTCCTGTAAGAAACCGACGAGCTGCTCTCGCTCTTGCCCGGGGAGTCCCGACCCGACCTGGACCGTTTGATCCGGGCGATCCACCATCAATGGCACGTCGCAAGTGGGCGTCATCGTCTCTGGGTGTGGTGTCGGCCGCTTCTCTTCTCTCGGATCCTCCAGAGGCTGGCCGGTCCTCGCCCTTTTGTTTAGCGAGACCGTCGTCAAGTAGCATCGCCTGGACTCTCTGGGGCTTCCCCAAACTTCCCCTGTCCCGGCGGGGGTAGGAAACTTCACCGTTTGATGATAGGTGGAGACTATAGCTCTGATTTTGTTGAGGGTGGGGCGGCCGAGGATGGCGTTGTAGGCGACAGGAAGATCTACCACCAAGAAGGTGGACATCACTGTCTTTGTTCGGGGCGACGCTCCCAAGGTGAGGGGCAAGGTAACAATCCCCAATGGCGAGACAGAATCGCCGGTGAACCCCGTGAGCGCCGAGCAGATTGGTTTTAGGGATTCTTTGGTTAGCCCCAACTTCTGGAAGGCGTCCAGATAGAGCACGTCGACTGAGCTCCCGGTGTCAATCATGATTCTCCTCACCTGGGCGTTAGCGATCCGGGCCATTATCACAAGTGCGTCGTCGTGCTCCGGTGGCTGGACGTCCTCGGGAGGGAATGCGACCTTGGGGTCGGGACCACGTTGGGGAGCATCGATCCTGACGGAACGGGCGTATGCCTTTCTCCCCGACATACTGGTTCCCCCAACCGCCGGTCCTCTGGTGATGACATCGATGTGGTGCACCACGGCGCCCTCCGGGAGAGGCGAGGGCTCCCCGTTATGTCGGACGTACCGATTGAGGTGCCCCCCGCGGACAAGCTCCTTGATCTGCCGCTTCAGTTCGCGGCAGTCTTCTATGTCGTGCCCGTTTTGCTTGTGAAAGTGGCAACGCTTGGACTGGTCGGCGAGCTCTCGCGGGTTTTTCATCGGAACGGGAGCCCTGAGTAACCCTCTCTCCTTTATCTGGAGAAATATCTCCGTTCGAGATGCACCTAGGGGGGGGCATAGGAGGCCTCGGAGTGGGTAGGTCGGATTGGTCCAGCCTACGCCTAGTCGCGGCAGGCTGCTGCCCGCGAGCCGGCTTCGGTCTAACCCTCGTGTGCTTTTCCTACTTTCCGGCCAACCAAGCCTCAGTCGCGATGAACTGGTTCGCCCGTTGAAGCATCTCAGGTACCGCGGAGGGGGGTCTCTCAACGAGGGACCAGAAGAATCGGGAAGGTCGTAGTCCCGTCATGATCGCTTGCATCAACAGAGAGGGGTGAGCGTAGGATAATCCACGGATCTGCATGGCAAAACGGTTCACAAAGTGGGAGAGGGACTCGTCCTCCCTCTGGTGTAGTCCGAGAAGCAAGGCAATGGATGGTTTCGGCCGTGCGCTGGCTAAGAAGTTGAGCTCGAAGTCTCTAGCGAGCTGGTCGAATGAGGCGACGGTCCCGGTCCTCAGGCCGCCGTACCACGTGCGGGTTGGTCCCCTTAGTGTTGTGGGGAACGCCCTGCACATCAGAGCGTCAGAAGTTCCGTACAGTGTCATTTGGGTGCAGAAGGCAGCTACATGGTCTGCTGGGTAGGTGGAGCCATCGTATGTGTCGAGAGAGGGGAGAAGAAAGTTCTGTGGGACCGTCTAATCCCGTATTTCGGGGACGAATGTGGATCCCTGATGTATGTCCTCCCCAAGCTCTCCTCTTGACCTGCGGACCTCCTTCTGTACCTCGTCAAGGCGTTGACTGACGAGGAGCAACTCGGCTCGCAGGGAGTCTGTCGAGGCCGAAGGAAAGGCCTCGGGTTAGGCGTGGCCTCTCCGGTCCGCCGTCACTCGATCCGTGAGTGGAGACGATGGGACCCGAGGCGAAGTGGGGAGCTCCAAGGGCTGCGCTTGAGCCTGAGGAGGCGGCTCCTGCTGTCGCACCGGTTCGGCAGCCGGCGGGTGCAGCGTTCCGGAGACGAGTGGAATGATGGACTGTATCATACCGGTTAGAACTTGGACTTGATGGGTGAGGTTGAGAAAGACCTCGGACGAGACGGGCGATGGTTCAGTGGAGGGGTCGTCGGGTGGTAGAAAACCCTGGTTGTTGAAGATTCGCTAATAGCGCTCTGAAGTTGCGGCGGGGTGTTCGCTACGGAGACCCGTCCGCGGGGGATGTTCCCCTGAAGCCCCGACCGGATGCGCCTCCTCGACTGTGGGTTCAGCCGAGTTGGCCTGGCGATCCCTCGACATCGACCCTCCTTCTAGCGCCATTATGTTGGTGTAAATAACTTTTTAGCCATGGCCTCAGGGCCGACGCGGCTTGGTTCGGGTCCGGATGATGGGTCGTCGATTCCTTCGGGAGGGAGTTCCTTGCCAACGCGCCCGGAGAGAAGCGCCTCACCTTCGTCCCTGCACACAGGTCGGGTCGGGATGCTCGACCCAACCCCTCTGATGATTAAGTTAGTGACGTGGAGTGGAGTTTTAGATGAAGAAGTGTTTTTGTGTGTCTGTTTCTTTCTCCCCTTTTCTGATGAACGAGAGGGTATTTATAGGGAAGCTCGGTGTTACCTGATGTGCCTGCTCGCAGGGGGCAGGATCGTACCTGATGACGTCTGACATCGCTATTGGCATAGCGTGCGAGTCGAGCCTGAGCCTGAGTGGTCGTTAATGGGCCTTGGTTGGCGTTACGACTCGTGTCAGTCACGCGGTGTCAGCCCAATAGGGACGCGGGGCGTTAGCGGGTGTTACGCAAGTCTTGTCGTAATTATTACCCTTATCAATTATATATATTTTTATAATTTGAATATGGTTTATTTTGTTTTAAATTGAG